AAACTTGGTTTGCTATTCTATCCTTTTACTTACTATCTTGCAATATAAAATGTCTATCTCTTCTACTCCCAAGCACTTGTGCTTCCTCATTAATTGCTCCATTGTATGATCCTTTAGAAAAAAAGGGTAAGTTCTTAAAAAGTGACTCATATCTTGGTCAATTTTTTAAACCACCTAATTCACCCCCTTCTTAGGTTGTTTTCCATCCTTACAATTGGTATCAAAGTTTGGTCTCCTAAAGATTAAACTCAATCGATTTTGGAATAAAAATGACAACCAATAATGTCATATTTTTTGAAGGACAATCCGTCACTAGATCTTCAATATTCAATGGATCAAATTATGTGAGTTGGAAGGAGAGGATGATTATTTTCTTACAATCTATTGATATTGAGTTGTGATTTATTGTCAATGAAGGTCCATATGATGCCTCTATTATTGATGAAGCTATTCTTAGGTCGAGACAAAAAATAAGGAGTAAGTTGACTGGTGATGATAGAACTCATTTTATTTTAAATGCCAAGACTATGAATGTTTTATACAGTGCTTTAGATTCAAATGAATCTATTAGAATAAAAAACTGTAGATCTGCAAAAGAGATTTGGGATAATTTCAGAGAAATCTATCAAGGAAGGGAGAATGTGACAGAACAAAATGAGTCCATTCTGGTCACTAAGTATGAATCTTTTAAGATGAAATCTCATGAAAATATTGACAAGATGTATTGCAAATTCAATGATCTTATTAAAGATTTAGAAGTACTTGAAAAGGATTACTCTCTAGGTGAGAAAAATAGAAAAATTCTAAATACTTTATCCAAGAATTAGGAGAGTAAAGTGACTGCCATTGAGAAAACTAAAAATCTAAATACTTTACCCATTGAATCTCTTATTAATTCTCTAATTTCTTATGAGTTGAAACTCAAGTCTAAGGTGCATGAAGAAAAAGATACAAAGGTGAGAAAGAGTATTGCGCTAAAAGCCTCACATGATGAAAATGATTCAGCCTCCTTAGATGAAGATGACATGGAAGATAATGACAGTGATATTGCACCCATCACAAAAAGTTTCAAAAGAATACTTAACAAGAGGAGATTCAGAAAAAGTGGACCCATCAATTCATTCTTAAATCAGTTCAATAACTTGAGAAACAAAGGAAAGCTAGAACTCAACAATAAATAAACTGATAAGTGTTTTGGATACTTTTAACTTGGGTACTACGCAAATGAATGTCCAATAAAGAAAAGGAAGGAAGGCAAGGTTGAACGAAAACCAAAATTTAACAATTTTTAAATCACCTGAAATGATTGTAATTCAGAAGGTGAAGTCGAAGAAGAAGAGAAGTCTGCCCAAATGGCTTTCATGACCATTGGTGATGAAGAGGTGAACATGGTAAACATTATTAAGAAATCAAAGTGATTCATAGATAGTAGATGCTCAAGACATATGACTGGTGATCCATCACAGTTCATCAAACTCAAGGCAAAAACAAGCGGAAAGATAACATTTGGAGATGATAACAAAGCCAAAACTATTGGAATTGGTGATGTTGGTAAGAATGGTCAAACCTTTATTCACCATATTCTTTTAGTTGACAATTTGAGCTATAACCTGTTAAATGATAGTCAATTGTGTGATAGGAATCTGTTTGTGTTATTTAAAAAGCATGAATGCCTTGTTCTTGACTCTAAATTCAGCACTATTTTCAAAAGAAAAAGAGTTAATGACATTTATGTAGTCATCTTTGAAAAAGTTGATTCTTCTAGATTAGTTGTTTCAAAGTTGCAAATGAGGACCCCTGATTGTAGCATAGAAGGTTTTGTCATTTCAATATAGATTTCCTAAAAAAATTTTCAAAAAGAAACTTGTTAGAAGATTGCCAAAGATCAAATTTGAAAAGGACAGAATTTGTGATACTTGCCAATTTGAAAAATAAATCAAAATGTCTTTTAAATCCAAAAAATTTGTTTCTACTACAAATCCTCTAGAACTTTTACATCTTAATTTATTTGGTTCTACAGAAACTACCAGCTTATGTGGCAAAAGATTTTACTTTGTTGTTGTTGATGATTATTTTAGATACATTTGGGTGATGTTTCTTGCATACAAAAATGATGCTTTCAAAAACTTTGTTTCACTATTTGCAAAAGTTCAGAATTTAATTGGATTGAAAATCATTAAAATCAGAAGTGACAATGGCTCAGAATTTTATTTTTGTGGCTTTTCAGAATTTTATAACAACAATAGTATTACACATGAATTTTTAATTACAAGAGTTCCCCAATAAAATGGAATTATTGAAATAAAGAATGGAACTCTTCAAGAGACTGCTAGAACTATGCTAAGTGAGTATAATTTATCAAAATACTTTTGGGGTGAAGTTATAAATACAACTTGCTATACCATGAATAGAGTTCTTTTAAGACCAATCTTAAACAAAACCTCCTATAAGCTGATGTTTGATAAAAAGCTTATAGTTGGATACTTTAAAATCTTTGGTTGCAAATGCTTCATTTTAAACTTCAAGGAACATCTCGAAAAGTTTGATAAAAAATCTGATGAGAGAATTTTCTTGGGATATTGTGAGAATAAGAGAAGTTTTAGAGTTTACAATCGAAAGACTTTGGTTATAGAGGAACCTATACATTTAATTTTTGATAAATCTAATGGTGATATTTTCATAAGTAGTGGTGAAGATGATGATGCAGGTATTCAATAATAACTAAAGAAACTCACAATCACTAATCAAGGCATTATTTCACCAGAAAATGATTCAAAAGAACATGAAACTCAAGACAGTCCAGCAAGGAAAGACAATAACAGAGACACTAGTACACCTAACGATCTTCCAAGAGTTTGGAAATTTGCTCAAAACCACCCTAAGGAGCTCATTATTGGGATCCATCCGAGAAGGTCAGAACTCGTTCCTCCTCTAAACAACTAATGGATAATTTTGTATTAGTTTTACACTTTGAATCCAAAAATATTGTTGATGTTTTGAAAGATGAGAACTGGATTTTAGTTATGGAAGAGAAGTTAAATCAATTTGAAAGAAACAAGGTATGGACATTAGTTGCTAGATCAAAAGATCATTCTATCATTGGCACAAAGTGGATTTTTAGAAACAAAATGAATGACAAAGGTGAGGTAGTAAGAAATAAGGCCAGACTTATAGCCAAGGGATATACTCAAGAAGAAAGAATTGATTTTGATGAATCATTTGCACCCGTAGCTTGGCTGGAATCAATTAGAATGTTTTTGGTCTTTACATGTTTCAAGAACTTTAAATTATTTCAAATGAATGTTAAAAGTGCTTTCTTAAATGGATTTATTGATCAAGAAGTATATGTTGATCAACCTCCTGGTTTTGAAAATCAAATTTATCAAAATCATGTATTTAAACTCTCAAAAGTTTTGTATGAACTAAAACAAACTCCAAGAGTATGGTATGAACGTTTGAGTGGTTTTTTGATTAAAAATGATTTTAAAAGAGGTATTGTGAATACTAATCTTTTCACTAAGCAAAGTTCACATAATCTTTTAATTGTATAAATATATATGGATGATATTATATTCAGTGCTACTAATGAGAGTTTGTGTAAGGATTTTTCCAATATCATACAAAAAGAATTTGAAATGAGCATGATGGGAGAATTAAATTTCTTTCTTGGACATCAAGTGGTTCAAACTCGAGATGGAACGTTCATCAATCAAACAAAATACACCAAGGAACTGCTCAAAAGATTTGGAATGGAGAATTCAACGCAGGTCGAAACACCTATGTGCACATCTACCAAGTTTAAAAAGGATGAAGAAGGTACAAAAGTTGATGAAAAGAAGTATAGAGGTATGATTGATAGTTTGCTTTACTTAACGACTGGTAGACCTGATATTATGTTTGCTGTGTATTTATGTGCTCGTTTTCAGTTTTGTCCAAAGGAATCTCATTTAAATGTAGTAAAAAGAATTCTTAGATATCTAAAAGGAATTTTGAATTTTGGCCTATGGTATCTTAAGTATCATGAATTTCCTTTGTATGGATTCTCTGATACTGATTTCGGCGGTTGTAGGGTTGATAGAAAAAGTACAACAGGTATATGTAATTTTCTTCGAAATTACTTAGTATCCTGGTTTAGTAAGAAACAAAATGTTATTTCATTATCTACAACTGAACCTAAATATGTTGTCGCTGGAACTTGTTGTACTCAATTATTGTTAATGAAAAACACATTAAATGATTTTGGATTGATGTATGATTGTGTGCCCATGTATTGTGATAACACTAGTGCAATAAATTTGATAAAAAAATCTCATCCAACATTTTAAGACAAAGCACATAGACATAAAGCATCATTTCATTCGTGATCTTGTCCATAATGGTGAAATTTGTGTTCAATATGTCTGTTCAAAAGATCAAATTGCTGATATTCTCACAAAAGCCTTACTATTGGATCAATTTGTGTCTTTGAGAATAAAGTTGGGCGTTTCAGAAAAAATACTCTAAAAATTCTCTGATTACTCTTTATCGGACGTCCGATGTGTTAGAACGGACGTCCGACAGTGTTCTTGATTATTTACTCAGAAAATTTTGGTTCAGACGGAGGTGTCGGACGCTCTACTTCGTTTGGCCGTCTGGCACTCAAAAATTGCATCTTATAAGGAAACCCTCTGTGTTATTCAATTCATTCTTACCATTTTGTTTCGAACGCAACTCTTTATATTTTCTCAATTTCAAAATTCAAATTCATCTCTTCTCGGAACAAGTACCAAGAAATCACTCTGACCGACACATTCACATACCTATTGCGAGTTTATTGCGTATCATAACTTCCCCCAACCGCCAACTGCACTATAAATTCCAATTCTTACCCAAAACCCTAACCACAAAAATTTCTCCCTCTGTGGACAGTTCGTGCATCCATTGTAATTCATATTGCACTCCTCATCGTTTCATACTTATTTGTATCATATTACACAACAAAATCACACTGTATTGCAATCATGGTGAGGATTAGAGGAGGATCCGTGAGTGCCGGACGCACCTTCAAGCTTCATGATGAGGAGGATGAAGATGTTCAAATTATCGAACCTTCCATCAAATCTCCCAAAAAGAAAACTGAAAATCGTAATGAAAAAACAAAGCAATCTGCAAGGAAAAAGCAGAATGCGCAAACCAGAAAACCATCTGTTGAACCATCCGATGAGCAGATAGAGGAGCATCAATTTGAAGGGCATCCAGTAAGTGGTAATGAAGAGGAACTGGAGCAGCCTACTAATGCAGATGTAACCACCATGAAATCACTCAAGAAAGAAAAAAAAACTGCCAAAAGAAAGAGTATTGCTCAACCCAAGAGAAGGCAAACTACTGATCCTTCTGGGAAACAGTAGGATGCAAAGAAAAATGCTGAGGAACAGTAGACTGATGAACCATCTACTAGGAAGTCACTAAGGACAAGGTCTGGTGTTCAGGGTACTGCACCAACTACTCTGTGCAGTGGCAAAAGAAAGCGTCCAGAACATGAACAACCAGAGACCCAAACTGCTATTGAAGCTACTCCCCTGCCCAAGTTCATCAATAATGAAGCCAGAGAGAGGTTTGAATGGATCTCGCAGAAAGGTTTCATCACTCAAAGGACCATCATTGCTTACGAATTCCGTAAGTTTGATTTTGAACCTGTTCTCAACCTTTTTAAATTCCAGAAATGAACCCATCTTTTGACCATTCCAAACACCTACTATCCTGACATGTTTCATCAATTTTTTGCAAACTTCAGAAAGGGTAAATCTTATACTGATCTCATTTCACATGTCAATTCTGTTAATATAGAGCCGATTCCTGAAATTGTCAACTCTGGTTTGGAAACCAAAATTGAAGATAGTTTTAAAGGCAAAATTGTAAATTTCTTTTCTTACGAAGAATTTTCCTCTGCATACCATCACTTTCATGTTGCAAAATTGATGACCTATTTTCAGTCTCACTTTAATACTCCTGCTGAGGCAAGATTGGAAGATCTTAGTCCTCAAAACCTGATCATTTTTACTATAATTTCAAATCTGTTGGTGCCCACTGATAGTCACAGAACTGATGCAAACAAAATGAAACTTTATTTGTTCTACTGTTTTTTTGAAAAAATCTGAATTGTTTTTGGTTTTATCATGTGCAAATTTCTGCTCAAAATCAGCACTAACAGCCGTAGGAAACTGTCCTATGAAAATTTTTTTATTCCTATTTTTACTCATTTTAAAATTTTCTTTACTGGCAAATCTCCAAAAAAGAGTGCATCAACTGTGTTTTCTAAGACTTACCTTGAAAGAAAAAATCTGAAATTTTTTTAGGGTCATTAGTACTACAAAGAAATTGTCTCTGAGTTTAGGAGAAAAAATCTTCATGAAACTCCTATAACCCCTAGAACTCCTCGAGACCAGTCTATGTATGTGACACCCTTCACCATTCATCCTAGAAGGTCAACCTCTATGTATACTTCATCCAACCTTGAGGTCATCTCTCTGCTTGATGACCTCAAACAATATATCCTGCTTCTTGAAGATGGTTTGATGATGACCATGACTTCGGAACAACAAGCCACTTTCGTTGCCAAAAAAAATCTGCTTGTACCTCTCATTCCTCCAGAAAATGAAAATACACACCGAAAGGAATCTAGAACTGAGTCAACCACTGAGACTACCCCAAAGTACCGTGCCTCCAATTCTCAACCACATGACAAGGAAAAAACTCCAGCAACTGAAGAAGAGACTGAAGAGGATGATGATGATGAGGATGAGGACAGTGAGGAAGAAGACTCTACCCAGTTTCGCCTAGTTAGAAAAAGATCTGGATCCTCTAAGATCACCATATAGGCATTACTAGGCTACTGCACTTCATGATTAGGATAATAGTTCATAGTAGATTTCTGTATCTTTTGCATTTAAAAACATTTGGTGTGCTCTGTTTTAAGGATTTTACTCCTTTACTGGTCTGTAAAACTATTTAGTTATCATTTATATTGAATGTTGCTTATTTCAATTTATCTGCCAATATTAGGTTCTAGTTGATGATGTTTTGGTTTTGGTACTGTTCTGCTGTGTTTTGTTTTACCGTTTTGCTAAATTCAGTTTGGATGTGTGTTGCTGTGTTTTATCTTACTGATAATACCTGGTGATAATATTGGTGAGTCAATAAATGACCATATTGTTGGTAATATGGATAATTTCATTGGTTGATTCAATGATGACAAAAAAGGGAGAGATATGAATATGTAAATAGATATGTAATCTATATGTAAGGGGGAGTGAACATTATTCTGAGGGGGAGTTGTGAATAATCATGAGTAGACATTATTTTGAAGGGAAGTTGTGAATACTCCTTGAATGCATTAAGTTAGGGGGAGCTGTACCTAAAACCTTTTTACTCCATCCATTGTTTTATCATCATTAAAAAGGAAAAAATTGTTTATCTCAATCCGTAACTTTTGATGATTACAAAAAATGGATGTTACTAATATTCTCTAATTAGATCTTTTCAGAATTGGCGCAGAACAGGTTCAAAGGCTAATATATGCTGAAATAGCTGTCAGATGCGCATAAAAACTGCATCGGCCGTCCGACAATCATTGAGTAACTTTGGACGCATGAAGAACCCACTCTCGGATGTCTGAAGATGATAAGCCAAATCCTCTAAGCTAATTGACCTCGATTGGACGTACAACACCTGAGTACCGGACGTCCAACAAACGTTGCAACATTTCAGACGCAAAACATTGGAGGCACCGGATGTCCGAACAAATTGAAGGAGAATTTTCAGTTTTACATCATACCTTCGAACGCATATTGTGGAGGTACCAGACATCCTAAATATTTCAAGAAAATTTTTTGAACTCACTGCCTGCATTTGGACGCAGAAAACTAGCCTACCGGATGTCCGATATCACCAACGGCTAGTTGACTCTTCAACTGCCTTCTATCCGTTAATAGCATTAATTGAAGAATTTTTTGGTCTCTTATAAAAAGGAAAAAGCCAACCACTTCAGACAACTTTTGCACATTGAAACTGCATCAAATCTTGAGTGATTCAAGTGTAAGAATACTCTTTAAAGAATATTTGTACTCTTAGTTGTGTAACTTTCGATAAGCTTTTCAAGTATGTTTACTTTATGAGGGTTATCCGAGTGATAGTAAAACTTCCTTACTTGACCAAGTGCGGCTTGGGGCGAAGAGGAAGTGATCCTTCATTTGTACACAAGAGATTGGTTGTAAGTTGATCAATTTGAAAAAACTTGCAATATAAAGTGGTATTCAAATTCAAGTGGACTTTGAAAGTTGGTTTGCTATTCTATCCTTTTACTTACTGTCTTGTAATATAAATTGTCTATCTCTTCTACTCCCAAGCACTTGTGCTTCCTCATCAATTACTCCATTGTGTGGTCCTTTAGAAAAAGAGGGCAAGTTCTCAAAAAGTGATTCATATCTTGGTCAGTTTTTTAAACCACCTAATTCACCCCTTCTTAGGTTGTTTTCGATCCTTACAAATCTGAATTTGACTCATTGGCTAAAAGAAAAGTTTTTGGACATGTAGTCCAAACACCTGAAGGTATAAAGCCAATAGGATATAAATAGATATTTGTGAGAAAAAGAAATGAGAAAAATAAAATTGTGAGGTATAAAGCAAGACTTGTAGCCCAAAGATTTTCACAAAGGCCTGGATTCGATAATAATGAAACGTATTCATCTGTAATGGATGCTATCACATTTAGATATCTTGTGAGTTTTGCGGTACATGAAAGACTAGATACGCGTCTAATGAACGTCATTACTGCATATTTATATGAAAATCTTGAAAATGATATTTATATGAGAATCCCTGAAGGATTCAAAATCTAATCTTAAAGATATTTATTATATTAAATTACAAAGTCTTTGTATGAATTCAAACAATTTGGACGTATGTGATATAACCGTTTCAATGAATGTTTAATCAAAGAAGATTATACAAATGATCCAATATGTCCATGTGTTTTTATCAAGAAAAATAGATCAAATTTTGTGATAATTGCTGTATATGTTGATGATCTAAATTTGATTGGAACTCCTGAAGAGATTCAAACTAGTGTTGAATATTTGAAGAAAGAATTTGAGATCAAGATTTTGGAACGACAAAATTCTGCCTTGGTTTACAAATTGAGCATTTAAAAAGTGAAATTTTTGTCCACCAAACTGCTTATATTCGGAAGGTATTAAAGCGATTTTATATGGATAAGGCACATACATTAAGTACCTCAATGGTCGTCAGATCACTAGATTCTAATAAGGATCCTTTTTAGACCGCGAGAAGAAGATGAAGAGATACTTAGTTCTAAAATACCATATCTCAATACAATTGGTGCACTAATGTATCTTGCTAATTGTATAAGATCTGATATATCATTTGCAAAAGAATGGTGAAATTGATGTACGATAAATCCGATCAGATAATAATTTGGCGAATTTGTTTACCAAGGCATTGCCAATTGCAATATTTGAGAAATTGGTGAAGAATATTAGAATACGATGATTAAAAGATCTCAAATGATATTTGCATCAGGGGGAGAAATTAATACATAGGAATAGTGTACTCTTTTTCCTTCACTAGGGTTTTTGTTCCGATGGATTTTTTCCTAATAAGGTTTTAACGAGACATATTCTTTGTGTAATGGACATACAAGGGGGAGTGTTATGAAACAACTAAAAGTGTGGATGTTCCTTTGTATTCCCAAGAGAATTAATTCATGATTTTTGGCTACATTATGCATAGAAGTTACAATCCATAAATCTATTCATGTAGTGGAGAAACCGTTTCATAGGTTTTTTCATATTCTTGTAGTAGTGGATGTTTAATAGAATTGATGTATCTTTAATCGTATAGTACCTATATATAGAGGTAAATTGACACTCTTTGTGAAGGTTTTTGTATTTAGTTGGAATATAAGAAAATTATTCTCTATTTCTCTACTTCTTTCTATTATAGTATTTCATTTTATTAATTTTATAACATTTTTCCTTTAATTGAGCAATTCTTAGGTTATTTTTAACATATATTTATTTTTTACTATGGTTATAATCTACTCTAAGTTTTTAATACTCATTAATTAGAAGTACGACTAGGCATTGTGCCCCGCGAGTTTCGCGGGGTGCCCAGTATTGATTGTTTAAGAGTAATGTAAGATTTATTTAATAATTAATGTTTAGAGTGTTTTATATGATAGTAGGGTTGGAATAATAAATAGAGGAACAATATATTGGATTAATATATTTATAAATAGATATAGTAATATTGTTGTGATTTGTATTTAATTTTTTAAGAGTAACAGGATGTAAATATTATTTAAATTAATGGAATGTAAATCATTTTTTAAGAGTTGAGATAAATTAATAATTTGAAATAATTTCGATATGTTTATTTTTATATTGTTAAATATAAGTGGAAGTAGAATAAAGAAAATTTAGGGAACATATTAATTATGATTGTTGGATAAAATCTCTGCTGAAGAGCTGCAGATGATAATTGTTTTCATTGAGCAAGGTGAACAGGATGACACTTCCTTCATGTAAGAAGTGTTTTCGTGCAAATATTGGCCAGCTTTCTGTTATTTTTATTCCTTCTAGTTGAAAGATCCATCGAGTTTTAGCATGATAGCAATTAATGACTCTTATGTTGTCTATTTGTATATGCGAGGGTATATCACCAATGAGTACCTGAGATAGAAAATAGGAAAAAAATGTAGTTGTATAATGAAATGAGAGTAGCAATGTAGTGTATGAATTATACTGATTGGAATGTAATTTGTATGAAACTCACCAAAAATTCAAGATCGTATGTTAGATAGTGGAAGAGTTTAGTATTAGAAAAACTAAAAGAAAAGAAATATAGTGAAGAATATAAATTCATAAATATAATATATACAAATTAAGGATTTTTAACAATTTGAAATTATAAATTTAGAATCATATATTTGTATTTATTGATCGAATAATTGTTTTTTGAATCAATAAATATTGGATTGATTTATTTTTAAGTTTATATATATAAGATACATGTCAAGTACATATGATTTTCAGTCATTTGTATTAATACGAAATAGCATAATCAATTTATATATATTGACTGGATACACATAGAATTTGTATTCATTTGCATATATTAGATGCATGTAGGATTTTTAGCGATTTGCATATTTTTGCTAATATATACATTTTGGAGAAAATTAATTAAATTTATATATATTAGATACATGTTAAGTACATATGATTTTTATTGATTTGTATTAATACGAAACAACATAATTGATTTATATATACTAATTGGATACACATAGAATTTTTATTCATTTGCATATATTAGATGTACGTAGGATTTTTAGGAATTTGCATTTTTTTCATATTTAATATTTTTGCCAATATATATTTTTCGGAGAAATTTAATAAATAAGTGAATAAACATAAAAAGAAGGCTATTTTATGTATTAGATGTGCATAGCATTTTTAGTGATTTGCGTATTTTTTTAATAGTTAATATTTTTGTCAATATACATACTTTAGACAAAATTAATAAATAAGCGAATTAATAAATAAGCAGATAAATATAAAGAAGGAGAGAAAATTATAAATATAGAAATAGTCTCGAAAGTATAATTATTTCATATAAATAACACTTATTATATGTTAATACAAGGCAATATTATTAATTTATATATATTAGATATTGGTTAAACACATAATTTTCATTGATCTGCATTAATACAAAACAACATAATCGATTTATATATATTGATTAGATACATATAGAATTTTTATTCGTTAGTATGTATTAGATATACAAAGGATTT